GTGACGTAGACATGTGGGGGCGTGTTAGAACGAGCCGTTTTAGGTAGGCGTGGCTGACTCTTAACTTTTATAAAGAATATCTCTTTGGATTTGAGACTTTAGTCTTTGCAACTTTACAGATCTTCTTTATGCACCAAGAGTTTGTAACACTCCAAAGAGAAAGGAAAACTTGAAATCGCATCATATGACCCCTTTAATGCATCCTTGCTGAATTATTAATAATTTATTTCCAAAAAAAAGACTTAATGACCCCAAACTTTTGAAAAGTAGTGTATTAGTGCTTTATTTTTTTATTATTTTTCAATATATGAATATATGTTTCATCATTGCCCTGGCCTCTCAACTTTTGGCAGATGAGGGGGAGTGTCTGATGTTTTTTGTATTATTATTTTTATTTTATTTATTTTTAAAAAGGTCATTTTTTGATGTCACTAGTGGCACAGAACTTACAGACGTCACCTTTAAAAATACGCAACAATGTACAAAAAAAAGAGGATTTACGCATTTCCTGAGGTGAGGTGAGGCAAGTTAGGTTAGCGAGGCTAAAGTCTAACACTGAATAATTAAACGCTATTCCACAGTGGAGTGAGTTTCGAGGTTTAATTCAGCATGCCATGTCCGGAATAAGAGCGCGGGGAGCGAGGAGCAGGCCAAGGAAAGCTAATGCTCATTGATAAATATGTAGTAGCAGCTGCGTTCAAGAGGGAGCATCTCCACCAGGCTCTGACGCAGGGCCACCAAACCCCCAAACTCGGCTGCTCAGAGACCAGGGCTCATTCCACTCTGCCAGATAAGAGTCCATACAGAGACCCATTTCCTACACAAGACGATGAGCAAAGGGTAATAAATTACCGAGGATCATCGTGAAGAAGAAATCTTCGTCGCATGCAAAAACAAGAGCAGAGAGGGTGCATTACCCGGCTCTGTGACGCAAACAGACACTTATTGCTTTCAAAATGTGACAGGTGAATATCATATCAATAGACAGCTGACAAGTAAACATGACTCAAAAAAATCGACCCGCCGCCTCTGCCTAATTCACCTCAAGGTCAGCGAAAGCACCATTTGGGTAGACAAATAAGCCAAATGCGAGTCCATACAAATCAGGCTGATTTATTTGGGTGACAGACCGAGTGACAGCAGGTTGGCTCAAATACAAACAGATAAGAGAGGCTGATGGGACGTGACAGACATTCTTATAGCGCTGCAGTCAAAGTCGACGCCTGCAGAAATCATTGAAGGAACAAAGTCTGCTGATACGTAGGATTGCGCTCCGTTCTTTGCAATCCTATTTCATGCTAAACCTCAATAACGAAGGAGTCTGTGCCAAGTTTGAAGGCTTAAAGGATTTGAGAGGACATCTACACCACCATAGCCAGTGCTGTATGACAACACGGGTGCTGCTGAGCCCCCCTCAGGGGACGAGAGGGGTTGTACTGGCCAGGCCTGAGGGTCCACAGACACCTCATTCTCTGAAAGAGCAAGAGAAGGTTTAGTCATACACAACCACAAGAGCAGAAACTGGCATTTCTGCAAATCCTGAAGATTTATTTATTTTTTGTTCTGAATAGGGACGTCAAAAGTACAGAGCTGCCCTAAGGCCGTGTAGGAGTTGTTTCTTTTTAAGTCTGATAAACTGTGCCCACTATTTCTTAATCTGTACTCTCAGTTTGCACCCACAGATTTGTAACTGCACCCTTAACTTAAAAATCTCTAAGAAGGCCTAATGATCAACGTTGGATGAATTATTAAAATTTTGGGGTCTGTCTTTTAAACCCTCTAGCGCCACCAATGGGTCAAAGATGCACTGATGTTTACTCTAATAACTTTTAGCCTACAAACTAAATTGATTTTGTTCTGGTTGACCTAAATTTCTATATTGTCTCCTTGCATTCCTTTGAACATCAATTTCATAAAAACAAAAAAAAAACTTCTATTCCCTTTGGACCTTTTTTTACGGGTAATTTATTTAGTGCCAGATTAGAGAAGATAGAAAAACACTTTACAGCCCATTTATTCTTAAATCACCCTATTAATGATGTTTAAATTATATATCATATATAATATTATAGTTCAAATTAAGCATTTCCCTTTCTTTGTGTTCCAAAAGCTCAACCCCATAGCTCAGCATGGATATCACATGCTAGATTTTTGATCAGGCATTGAGGAAGGGGTACAGGATTCTGCAGGGTGATACTTCAGTAAAGATACCAGACTTTGAACAGAATTTTCATCAATAACAGCTGTCTACATGTTTTTATTTAAAGTTGGCATGCAGTGAAACTTCACTGCACTTCATCTATTTTTTAAATGCATGTTACAGATCTTATTGTGAACAACAAAACTACTTCTCACTACTTCTGTTTTAATCGTGAATAATTTGTTAGTACCTTCTTATATTTGTTTTATTTAACAGCATCAAGAGTGGTGGAATTTTATTTACTGGTACTGTCCCTAGTCCTTAATCAGCCTTCTGCTCCTCCTGCCAAATAAAACACATGCTCAAATCAAAAAATATCATGCCCCGGGACAGCACAGTCTCCACTGTAAACACAACAAAGTGGCCTAAATGCCCTCCCCATCTGCCTTTGTTCAGCATCTGAAAGGTGGCCAGATTTGACAAAAAAATTGAAAAGTTCACTTCTAAAGACAAAAACAAAAACTCAGTGTGTTTGTGAGGAGATAAGCCATGACATGTAACAGAATTATACGCCCTGCGTTCAGAAGCATTTAACCTCTGTGCGGCTCAAAGGTCATTACTAATTCATCTGCAACCAGTATGAAGCTTAAAATATTAATTTCACATTTCAAATAAATTAGCTCATGTGCCAGTGCAGAGGATGGAAAATAAATTGCATGAATTGCACATTATTATGAAAATGATTTGGATTCAGTATGCAAAATCAGTGCCCTCCTGGACCCCTTAGACCAGTGTTGTTTGGTTCGTCATCACTGGCAGCACATGACCTCACTTAAGAACTGCTGCATACTTCATTAAAAAGCTTAATTTCTAATTTTATTTGGTAAGAAAAGTCCTCATAAATAAAACAGTGGCATGACATGAATTGCAAAATGAGTCATGACAGCTAATGGCCATCTGGTGAGGATGTCAGCCACCAACAAAATCTCCCTCAATATCACGGCCCAGCGGACAAGAAACCACAAGGGTCATTTCTACTATGCTGCACATATTCATGTGCCCATCATATGCCATAACATATTTAGGAAAAAATATTTAAAACATTTTTTTTAAAATAGAAAACCATACTGATACATTTATTTTCACAATAAAGTGGAAAAAAATGAATCTTGCCTTTTAACACTAAAAACTGTTCATTTATTAAAGGGATAGTTCACCCAAAAATTAAAATTCTGTCATTAATTACTCACCCTCATGTCGTTCCAAACCCGTAAGACCTTCGTTCATCTTCAGAACACAAATTAAGATATTTTTGACGAAATCCGAGAGCTTTCTGACGCTGCATAGACAGCAACGAAACTACCATGTTCAAGACCCAGAAAAGTAGTAAGGACATCGATAAAATAGTCCATGTGACATCAGTGGCTCAACCGTCATTTTATGAAGCAATGTGAATACTTTGTGTGCAAAGAAAACAAAAATAATGACTTTATTCAATGATTTCATCAAAAATATCGAAGTGTTCCGAAGATGAACGAAGGTCTTACGGGTTTGTAACGACATGAGGGATAACGACATAACGACATAATTCTGTTAATTAATAACAGAATTTTCATTTTTGGGTGAACTATCCCTTTAAGAAATTTTTAATTATTCATGATTTATTCTTTACTTTAATAAAAAATTACTTAATTTTTATTTTATTAAATTTTTAATTAATTGTTATATTTGTAAATATAAAAAAATGATAACAAAAAAATATTTTACTATAATTTAAAATTATTTTATCATATCAATATTTGTTATATCCCTTTAAGCAACAACATCTAGTTCACTAATGACATCATACTTCAGGAAAAGACATCATTTTGACAAGAAAATAACAAACATCAGTAAGTATTAATGGTTTTTAATTCTTTTTTTTTTCAAATTCTGTAATGTTCTGTTTTGTGGTATTAGTTGCACTTTAATAACATTGAGCACGTTTACATGCACATTCTTAAGCCAATTATTCTTAATAAGCCGAAAACGCACATGGTCATATAAACGCGGTAACCGGTTTCCTTTTAACAGAGTAAAGTCATAGCTAAACGACCTAAGCATAAACCGGTCGACAGAGGTCGTTTTTTTTGCCTCTTACCCCGATTTTGCGTGGCATGTAAACGCAATAACCTGCTTTCTGTCGGCTTATTGAAGTGTGCATGTGATATGTGACAGGAACACATCGTTAGTGCAGATTTAAGCACATCTAGACAGAGCAAACGTTTTGCAATAAACAAGCAGAAGTAGAAGTGGTTCATTCAAAATGCTGCATTTATAACTGCATGAGAGGATAATATATGAGCTGCAAGTTTCCCGCTGACATGTAGCAAGCTTTATTTAACACCACAACTGACAATGTATGGAACACTCGGAGTCAGATACATGCAAATGATTATATTTTGACGTCACTACAGGGAAATAACCTGATTTGTAAATAAAGTCGTGTAAACGCAGCTTACTTGCATTGTCAGGTTACTGATGTGCATGTAAACATGGAAAACTGGTTATTTTAATAAGCTGATATTTGTGAGTTATCAGCTTACTGGTGTGCATGTAAATGTGCTCATTATGTGTGTGTGTGTGTGTTTGTTTGCATTTACGTTTAAAAGTTACTGTACAACAGAAATGACCACATTGTTGCTCTACCCTCAGTGGAAATGTGCAGCAGGTTAGAAACAGAAGATGGATGAAATGGATCAGAATTTTGTGCTGTGGTTGTCTGTACTCAAGCCAAGATGATTATTTAATCTCTCTGGAAAGTAATTGTTATGCAGGCTCTTGTGGTGTCCAGCTCTAGGGGTGAGCGATATGACCAAAATCATAAACAATTTAGTGACTTAAAAATACATTGGTTTTTGTGGACTTGGACACACATCAACATGTAAGGTTATTCAAAACAAACGAATGGCCAACAAAAGTCTGGCATCAGTACAAAAACAGCTTCATATTATGTAACACCTGAATTAAAAAAAAAAATTCAAAGCAGTAAAACAAATCTGACTAGATGAGCCATTTTCAATATACAAACACTTGTAACAGAACTTTGGCTGAATTTTATATTAATGTGCAAAGTTGCTTTGCTTGATATTAAACTACTTATATGAAGATATTTTTGACATGCCACAAGCCTCAGCTGACATGTAGCACAGAAATAAAAGAGTAAAAGCCACATAAAATATTGTTACCTACATTCCCGCTTTTACTTAGTTCTATTGCACCACTAAACTGCTCATATTGTGGCTGTATGTAGCAGATTCTCACCAGCAGCACTGAGTAGAAGCCAGGCTGGGTCTCCCATTGGCGAAGCTGCTCCTCTGCAGGCTTCAGCACAGCTGTGTCCTGACTGGTGGCCTGGGTCAAAGCCTGCAGCACCACTGAGCTGGCGCTCTGGATGTCCATTAGGTAAAGCAGCAGACACAAACAGAGCACACAATACAGCTCATTTATTATCTTAATAGACTGGAACCCTGACAAATCATAGTTAACATTGCTACCCACCAGAGTCCTTTGCTTTTATGAAACATTTAGAATAACACTGGAGTTCGTTATCTACCACACATTAACTACACACCCCGTACTTACTCAATAATATACAAATACATACATTTGAAACTCAAGGTCAGTAAGGGGATCTATTTAACAACGAGTTTTATTTATACCAGCATATTACAGTACCACAGAATATAATATACCTTTTTAACATTATATTTAATCTCCCATTCAAATATTTGGGGTCAGTCTGATTTCCTGTTTTTGAAAGAAGTCTCTTATGCTCACCAAGGCTGCATTTATTTAAAGGGGTAATAAATAGTTATATTGTAAAATATTACAATTTAAAGTAATTGATTTCAATTTTAATATATTTTAAAATGGAACATATTCCTGCAATTTTCTGGGTTTTTAAATATTATTAGTAACACATTATCCTCAATAAATCATTCTACAATGCTTCTTTGGTGCTCATTATTTGGTGCTTATTATTATTATTAAATTACTTAATTTAAATTGTATTTTTTTTAAGTGTGCACTACTTAATATTTTTGCAACATTTGATATATTTAAAATAAAAAAAATTTTTACAAAACCCAGAAGAAATGTAACCATACCACTTTAATGTAAGTCCTTGACAGCAGTTATGAATTCATTTCATACACACTTTTCTTGGAAAAAGGTGGCAAGCATTGCAAAACATTACTGATTTATCAAATGCTTAAACTATCAAAAAGTAATTATTTACAAAACCTTGGCAGCTAGATAATATTACCACAAATAAGCAGAAATCACAACCACAATGAATAAAAAATCAAATGTTTATGTTTGAAAGGCATAAAAAAGCAGTCTGTAAAGACAACGATGTGCTGGCCTGATGGGTAAAAGACAGTTCTGTCAACTGTACCTAAAATCCTGGTGAAAATCATACTGAAATCTGCATCTTAAACCCAGACTTGTGTATTTCACCCAGGAAAATAACATCAAGTTGGAGATCTTTGCTGTGCAACTCTGCCCCCTATTTGTGCAAAACATAAACTGGCAATGTTTTTTCAGCGACCTGTCCTGAATCATACCAAAAACAAGACTAGTACAGCAGATGGCTTTAGAGGTTTCCCATCTCATGGACAAACAGACAGTTGCTGGTTAAATGGCATCCATGCTGTGATAGAAATGAGTCCCATTTTTTTAATCACTGGTAAATAAAGCATAAATGCTGTGCATTTCCAATTATGAGCTCAAAAGCTCTTGCCTTGTGTGCTGCAGAAAGAATGCACAGTTATAAGCAATGCTTGAAGTACAAACTCATAGTTATTAGAGCGATAAGCGCAACTACACTGCAAGCATGTACAAAGCAGTTTCAAGCGGAAGGGCGTAAATCTTGTGCGTAAAGAATAAAGATTCAAGCACTCCATCTTTGGTGCACACATCTCATCTGAATTAAAATAAAAGGTATAAAAATAAAAAAAACAATCTTTTTGTAAACAGATCATTTATTAACCTGGGCGCCTCCATGTATACACCAGATGCTCGATCACGTGCAAACTATAGAATGTAGGTTCAAATCTGGGAAGAGCACAGAAAATGATTGTTTACTCCAACAAAAAAGGTCAAAGGATCTTGCTTTGGGTTCAGGTGCTTGAGCAGAATGTCATGTAGATTTGAGGTATTGTGACATATATATTTCACTGGCCTTTAAAACATGACATTTAAGCTGTGATTAGAAGTAGCCTATATACAGTGGGTACGGAAAGTATTCAGACCCCCTTAAATTTTTCACTCTTTGTTATATTGCAGCCATTTGCTAAAATCATTTAAGTTAATTTTTTTTCCTCATTAATGTACACACAGCACCCCATATTGACAGAAAAACACAGAATTGTTGACATCTTTGCAGATTTATTAAAAAAGAAAAACTGAAATATAACATGGTCCTAAGTATTCAGACCCTCTGCTCAGTATTTAGTAGAAGCACCCATTTGATCTAATACAGCCATGAGTCTTTTTGGGAAAGATACAACAAGTTTTTCACACCTGGATTTGGGAATCCTCTGCCATTCCTCCTTGCAGATCCTCTCCAGTTCTGTCAGGTTGGATGGTAAACGTTGGTGGACAGCATTTAAGGGGGTCTGAATACTTTCCGTACCCACTGTATGTCAAACACTACAAAGCCACAAAAACCAAATCTGACATGAGGTCAAGAATCGGTTGCTCAGCCCCTGCTGGCAGATGTCATAAGCACACAATTCTGGGGGACAAAAGCATGATTCTACACTGATACATAAAATGCATTGCAAGAAACATGAATCACTATTATAATTATGTACAATACGTACCGTTTTCCAATTTATGTAATTGTCACACCTAATGTTTTACAAATAACACTACATCAACCCACAACAGTTGTCTTGTTTTTTCGTTTGTTTGTTTGTGTTTAACACCATTCCAGCTTCTGTGGCTATTTTCATGGCGAGAAATATTATGGCTGAATTATATAATGTTTTTATAATTTATTTTTGCTAAAAACTCCAAAACTGTATTTGGTTTAACTCTATTAAAAATCTCTTCAAAAGAGTTAACTGAATAAAAAAAAATGTCTAGGAGTTAAAACAAGCACAATCTAATAAAACATGCTTAATGTATAAAGGGATTCCATCAGTTGTCTTTAATTAATAAAAACTAAACTATTAATAAAAAATGTAGCCTAACTTTTTTTTTCTTCAGGTTTGGAAATCACTATTTTAAAAACTCCTATTACTTGCAGGTTTTCATGTAACAGTACTTAAAGCTGCAGTCCGTAAGTTTTGCCTCTTTGTCGCCATCTCTGTTTGAAAACCTGCAATTGCAGCTGTGTGTGGAATTATCTTCCTTGCGTGGGTTGTGCGGCGGCACGGCTCCAGCGCGGATGAATCTAATGTTTTGAGGAGTATGTGTGGCAGTCAGTCACCGCACCGGTGTGGATATTTACTGTACTTCGCAATCACAGATTCTAGCCTAAGTCTTGGAATATGACCCAAATAAGAATTTTCACCGTATATTGCCATCTGAACAACATGTGTTATATAAACACATAATCCTTTCTGGATTACAATCCGCCATCAAAATGATACATTTAATTATTCCAGCTGCTGTGAGAAAAGGCTATAAACGATCGGCCACCTGCAGGATCCTCACATGCGATAGCCTAGTAGCCGGGACAACTTCTTTATGTTTACAGACGTGACGTAATGACGCAGTGCCATGCTCGATTTTCCCGCAAAAACCTACCCGTACCACTCAAATTAGAAAACATTATTATAAGCTGACCGTTGTGAATCGGGCTAAAATAAGGCGATAGTTTTGAACACTGGCTGGTACTTGCTCAAATATTGATTTCGGATCATTTTTAACCAAAAAAAGTTACGGATTGCAGCAGCTTTAACAATATAACAGAACTTAACAATTGAACACTACTGTTCAAAAGTTTGGGTTGAGTAACGTTGTTTATTAACCGTTTTATTTAGCAAGGATAAAAGCAAGCAAAGTTAAATGGATCAAAGGTGACAGCATTTCTAATTCAAATAAATGTTGTTATTTTGACTTTCTATTCATCAAAAAATCCTGAAAAATGTATCTTAGTTTCCACAAAAATATTAAGCAGCACAACTGGTTTCAATATTCGTAATAATCGATAATAAGAAATGGTTCTTGTGCAGCAAATTAGCATATTAGAATTATTTCTGAAGGATGATATAACACTAAGACTGGAATAATGGCTGCTAAAAATTCAGTTTTGCCATCTCAAGAACAAATTACACAAAAAAAGTCACAATATTAGTGTTTTTATTGTGTTTTTGATCACATAAAAGCAGTCTATAAGAGGCATTTTTGGAAAACATTTAAAATAATATACCAGCCTCAAACTTTTGAATGCTAGTGTAAACAGGATTCACAAATTGTTCATGCTATAATTCATTAGAAACGTTTGAATGCTTATTATGCTTTGGCAAGGCTACTGGTAGATGTTAAAACTCAAATAAGAGAAACTACCACTACTATTAAGTGACCAAACAGGCATGGATATCAGCCAATGCTAATCAAATAGTAATATATCAAATGATTAACCATCCTCCTGGCTGATATGTCAATCTGCAAGTCCTTTCAGGGAAAATGCTGACATAACCACACAAACAAGCAATACATATCCTGTGTGTGCTCTTAAAACACAACCCAAAATCTGAAGATAGTTTAGAGTCACATCACTATAAAGCCATGTCAGATTTAAATGACTGACAGATTACATATGGATTGACTATATTGTAAACATGAAATTGACATTTATGTTTTCGTTGATCTATAATCAGCCTCAAAATCGAAACACGCTGTGTATTATAAATCAAGTACCATCAACCTTCAAGAGTAGGTCAAAACAACAACACTAGTGGACAGATCTGGAACAATACATGTCCACGTGCATGTGAATGTATCTGTATTACGCATTCATAACTGTAGCACCATAATTATGAACGTCTCAAGAGGTTCTTCTCGGCCTGCTTTTGTATGAAACCCTTGAACTGTACACATTATACATAATCTGTGAAATAGAGGATGGCAAAAGTGTGTAACTCGTAACGCTATCATAATAACGGCATAAGATTACGTTATATGGAAACATGTCTAGGCCTGTCACGATAACAACTTTTTGTTGTGCGATATATTTCCCCAGAAATAATTGCGATAAGCGATATTATTGGCATTTTTTAATGTAACAGCATAATAATGCAAGAAGGCCTACACACTTCCAAATGACAACAAACTTTAAATGTTTAAGAATATTTAGATAATGGAAATTAGGTATCAAAATACTAGATACCTTAAAAAACCTGAATAAATAGTAAATTTTATACTATTTTTTAACAAAAAGTGCAAAGTAG